GAGATTTCAAGAGCGCAGGCACATGATTGCACAACAATGTGAATGTTCTGAATACTACAGAACTAAATGTTTAAAAATGTAACCATCTGGGACAATTTTATGTTATGTATGTGTTAGTATTCCATGACTATAAAAACAAAACAAAAACACCTGAGATAATCAACTCATAAGAGAGAAAGGTGTACTTTGGCTCATAGTTTTGGAGGTTTCAGTCCATGGTTGGTTGGCTCCATTGCTTTTGGGTCTGAGGTGAGGCAGCATATCATGGTGGGAGCACATGGCAGAAGAAGCTACTTATCTCATGGGTAGCCAGGAAGTAAGGGAGAAAGAATCCATGTGTATAGAAGAGACAGAAGTCCCACAATCCCCTTTGAGGGCATTTTCCCAATCACCTACAACTCCACAGCATACCCTACCTCTTAAAGATTCCACCATCCTACAATAGCATAAATTTGGGGTTCAAGTCTCAACACATGGCATTTGGGGGACATTCTACAGCTAAAATGTGTCAGCATATTTTACCACTACATAAAAAAGCTGCAGATTAAAACAGAATTCAAAACAATTAATTGCAATTAATATAAGATAAACAAAAAAAAATATAGGCACAAATTTAAAAACCCATCAAGATTTGTGCTCTTTACTACATGGGAACTAAATCCTTATTAAAACAAGAAAATAAAAATGCAGTCATTACCAAATTGTACAACACTGACAACCCTGAGATCCTCCTAAGTATATAGATACTTCATTCTCTGTATAACGAGGACACAGTAACTCAGGCTCGAGCTGGATCCTGAGCTTTCAGGCAGCTCTTCAAAGTCTCTTCACATTGGCAAGCACATAGCTACGTGATTCAGATTATTTTTCCATTCTGTGCAATCAAAATAAAATGAAATACTAAATCAGAGATTGGGATGACAAAATTATACAGAGGGAATACAGATAAAATGGTTGCCAGGGGTTCAAAGGTCAGAGAGGGAAAGGGTGACTCTAATGGGGCATGGAGTATCATGGAGGTGACGGAGTCGCTCTGTTCTCGATTGTTGGGGCAAATGGGCAAATCTATATATGTGATAAGTGTCTCAAACTATATCCATTCCTTGGTACCCAAGAAGCATTGATTCTAGGACCTCCTCAGTTACTAATTCTGCAGATACTCAAGTACCTTATATAAAATTGTGTGGTATTTGCACCTAAGCAAATTCCATATACTTTAAATCATCTTTAGATTTTTTATAATACCTAACACAATGGGATTGAAGTCTAAATAGTTGTTATGCTCTACTGTTTAGGGAAAAATGACAAAGGCTGGGAACATAGCTGAGAGATATTATTTGCCCAGCATATGCAAGGCCCTGACCCTGGGTTCAATCCCCAGCACTGGGAGGGAAAAAAACAAACAAAAACGTTTCACAGTACCTTTTTTTATTTCGCAACCATTTTAAATCCATGTTTAGTTGAATCTGAAAATGGAGAACCCATGAATATAGAGAGCTGGCATATATATAAAAGCATACCAAAAATGAGTGACTACCAAGTGACAATTGTAGTCATTGCTTTGGACCCACTGATTTCCTGGTCCCAATAATGCCCTGAAGAAATACAAAAAGTTACTACTGGAAGAAGCTGGGCCATAGAATTAAAAGACTTTTCTACTATTTTGGCTGCTTTTTTTTAATTTTTTGATTCTATAATTGCATCAAAATTTTAACAAATGATAAACACAGATATAAACTGGATGTTGAGACTGGTATACGCTGGACATACCTCTAGTTTTCAAAATTTTTATCTTTATTAAATTACACCATTGTTCTTACTGACTTAATAACATGTAAAAGTGAACTATGATTATGACACATTAAAATAAATGTTTCCTCATAAAACACCATATAAGTCCAGCTGTGTTCAAAAGAGGATTCATTTCCGTTGTTGTCAAAGTTGAAAACTACTGAGGTATTAGAGAGAACATGCAATGAAAAGCAGGAGACAGGCTGGATCAGATCTCAGCTAATCAGCTGTCAAATGAAAAATGACTACACCCATCCTTGCCATTAAGACTTTCTTGTTAGGAAATGAGACACATGCAGCTAGAAGGCCACATAAGGACATCAGATGTTCCCCGGTAACATGTGGCTAATAGTCAACGAATAGAGCTATGAACTGAATTGTATTCCCTCAAAATTCATATGCTGAAGTCTTAACTTGCAATGTGACTATATGAAGAGGTAAGGCCTTGAAAAATGTGATTAAGATTAAACGAGGTGAAGGATAGAGGCCTAATCAATGTGAATGATCTCCTTACAAGAAGAGGGAAGGGTGGGGCGTAGCTCAGTGGAGAGCACTTGCCTAGCATGCAACAGGCCCTAAGTTTGATTCCCAGAACTGCAAAGGAAAAAAAATAGAAGAGGGAGAAACACAAAAGGGGTGCCCATTCAGAGGAATGACCATGTGAGGGCACAGGAGAAGGTGGCCATCTGCAAGCCAAGGACAGAGACCTCACCAGAAACAAAATAAACCTGGATCTTGCATCTCCGGCCTCCAGTACTAAGAGGAAGTGCACTTCTTTTTGAACCATGGGTCTGTGTGGTATTTTGTTATGGCAGCCTGAGAAAACTATTAAAAGTAGAACAGTGATGTGGTGTAGGAGGAGGAAAGAAGCTTGCTTAGAACTAGCTGCCTGATCTTCCACAGGGGGCCTGAACACAGTACAAAGTTGCAATTAATGGCAGATTTTTACCAAAACAGTATTTCATATATTCAAAGAAAAGCTAGCTACAAATCATATAAAAGAAAACCATATGACTAGATGCATACTGTTCACAAACAATTGGAGTTCCTTCATCTGTATTCCTTCCTTCAATCACCAACCAACAATGGTAACTGAATCTCTCAAGTCCTGAGTCAGGTTCTGGGGACACAGAGCAGAGGCCTAAGCTTGGCTCTGTGTACTACATAGTCTTTGGGGTAGACGGGAAGTAGGAGCAAGAGCTATGTGAGGATAAGTGCCTCCCCAAGCTAAGCAAGGGGAGCAGAATCACAGAGCAGAGGTGTCTTCCAGAAAGAGCTCTGGCAGCCATCAAAATGGACCTGTGAATCCCGGGAAACAGCAGCCATTTCTGGGGCTATTATGTGCTTTGGCAGCCCTATTAACAGATAGAGGCCAACACACACACAAACAAACACACACACAGAATTTCTACAGCCCCCCACCAGCAGGCTTGTGTCAGCTATCCTTCAAGTGAAGCATGTTTTCCATTGCTTATCTACTAATTCTATTACAGAGACAGTCCCAAATAACAAAGCACAGATTCGTTGTTTTGTTTTATTCTTTGGGTGGTACTGGGGATAGAACCCAGGGCCTTATGATCATTGGTTGTTTTTTGACACCTGCTCTTCCATGTGTTTAGAGGATATATGAAATTAAAAAAAAATCATTTTGTAAACTCAAATACATGAAATAAAATTTAGATAACAAGATGTTAGATTTTAACATAAGCCAAAGTGATCGATCATTTGACAGATTAAGAAACCCAAAACAGAGATTGCCCAGGGTCGCCCAGCTCATCTGTGGTACAGCCAGAGGAAAGACTTGGGGTTACCTACAGCTGAGACTTCATGAGAAGCATAAGTTGTTAAAATCTAAATTTCACAATATTAGATATTTTTGCATCCTACTGTTTTCCTTTAGTTTTACTATAATTTGAAGCATGCACAGGTCATGATTTTGCTTTAGGCAACACAGTATTTGGAGCTCCTAGTTTGTAAAGGTTTGTGCTATGACAAACCAAATTGGAAAGCTCTTGGTGTTTCCTCTCTTAACCAAGCATTCTATTCCTATACCCTAAGAGTGTTTTCCACTTGAAAGCTCTGAAAAGTCAAGAGTAAACCACTTATCATTGAGAATAGGGGAGGAAAGGAAAATGATAAGTGAGGGAGAAGGTGTAGAAAAGAAGAGAAGAAAGGGAAAGAGGAAAAATGTGTTCTTCCAGCACTGCACATTGGTATTAGTGTTGTTTGTCTAGAAAGCAACTGGCCTATGCGAGGGTTGGTAGAGGAGACTGATCTTACAACTACATGGTTATGCTTCACTCTTAGGGCATTCAGTAAAGATCAAATGCATGTGCAAACATAAACCACTACATGTCTTTTGTTGTTGTTGTTATTGTTATTTGCATTTTGACTCATTGTACATAAATGGAGCACAACTTTTCATTTCTCTGGTTGTACACGACGCAGAGTCACACCATTCGTGCAATCATCAGGTATATAGGGTAATAATTACCATCTCATTCCACCATCTTTCCCACTTCATATCCACTCCCCTCTCATCCCTTTCCTCTGCCCAATCCAAAGTTGCTCCATTCTTAACTTGCCTACTCCAAACCCACTATGGATCAGCATCTACATGTCAGGGAAAGCATTTCTTTGTCCTTTGGTTTTTTAGGATAGGCTTATTTCGCTTAGCGTAATATTCTCCAACTCTATCCATTTACCTGAAAATGCAGTAATTTCATTCTTTTGTGAGGCTGAGTAATATTGCATTGTGTATATATACCACAGTTTATTTACACATTCATCTCTTGAATGGCATCTGGTTCCACAGTTTAGCTATTGTGATTTGAGCTGCTATAAACATTGATGTAAACCATTACATTTCTATCTCATGACAATTGTGTTACTGAGTTCCCTCTTGCCTTGGTGATCAAGATGCTTAGAGTCAACTGCACCCCCAACTGCAGACACCAAGGGCGGCTAGTGGCTCTTCCCCTTTGGTTTAACTTTTCCTATCTTACTAAGTAACCCTTCAGCTAGATGCCTTCTGCCATAAGCAACTTCAAAACTTGTCAGGAAAAAAAAAGTCAATTAACTAATTTACAAGAAAAGAACCAAAAGGAAATACTGAACTTGCTCACTGAAAGCTCATTCAGATTGGAGGTATAATTAAGAATTTGAGGATATATCAGCTCCTTGCATCATTATTTGAACTCTAAACTTACCAACAGTGTCGCATGGCTCATCTTTGTGAACGCAGAAATCTGTCCTAAAAAAAAATGAGAGAGAGAAAGAGAGACAGACATAGTCAGGTGAATGTGGTTTACTGGGAAAATGGGAGAAGAAACACTGAGATTAACCTTGATTGTGGCTTTAGTTGTCATAAGTCATAGTGACATACCATAATCAACAGGGTTTGCCAAGAGAAATTGGCCTATAACACGTCCAAGTGGCAAGCCCAGTTACCCTATGAAGGCTAGACTATTCTATAAAAAACAGTTGCTGAAAAGATTCCAAAAGCTGAAAAGGTTTTGGAAGATGTTTATTAAATTACTATTGAAAACAATTATCAGTCAATATCATCAAACTGCAATGGCTTCTCCAAGCTCCTCTATTTGGGCAGCAACTGCTTCTAAAGACCATGAATCATGTCTATGAGAAGTCAATAAAAAAGTCATTTCTGAAAATTGTATTCTTCGAAGCTCTCCACAATCCCCCAGGTACGCAGCTGTGGTTGAATGAGATAGCAAAGATGCTCAAAGCCTGGTCCAGCCCCAGTTCTTCAGGCCYAAGGGTTCACTCTCATGGTGAAATGAGGGATTAGACCCTACTTTTCCAACAAGGAGCGATATTCCAAAAATTCTCAGTCACTAGTCAACCAAGAGAGCTGAATGGGGCAGCAGCCTGCCTGGGAGCTAGGGGAGAAGAGGGAGGCCCCAGGAGCAGGCCCTCTTAGGCCGCATGCCCATCTTCTCACAGGGCCCTTAGACAGTGCTCACTCACCTGCAGCCTACACACACCCAAGTACAGCACATACCACTCCTCATTTTTCTTCTTAAAAGTCTGGTGCTAGCCAGACAACGCCAACACTAAGCAAAGTTATGGGGGAAAAATGGCAGCACTGGGTGGCCACAGCTTGTCTTCTCCTACCAGGGTAACATCCCCTCATTTCTGGCCCACTGTTCCTGCACTCTGGCATTTACTCTCCTCCATTCCTCCCCTTCCCTCTACCCACAGCTAATCTCAGGGCAGGATTTGACCTGCCATTCACATGGGGGTAATGATAGAGTGTGTTACTCTCCTAACCACTTTTTAAAAACATTATTTTATTGGTTCTCTTTAGTTATTCATGATGAACAGTTAAATTTGATATAATTAAACAAGTATAGAATATATCTTATCCTAGTTAGGACCCCAGTCTTGTGAATGTATTTCTGGCCTCTATTCATATTTCAGCCTGCTCTATCCCACATCACACTTTAGTGTTTTCCCTGAAGCATAACCCACATTTGAGAATTCTCAGCCCAGCATGGACAGTGGAGCAAACCCTGCATGTCTCCAGCCCTGACTCTATTTCTGGATCAGGGATGGGACTCATAAAAGATCCCATCAGATCACTAGCACTCAAAGATATTGGATTTGTAGTTTTAAGAGGCTCTGCTTGAGCTCTGGTGTACAGAATCCCATGTCCAGAATGACTGCCTCAGGCCAGTGATGCCAAAGGCACAGTGGACATACTACAAGCCCAGAGTGGGTAAGGCAGGTGGCAAGGTTAGGTGTGACAGCTTAGAAGGTGCACAGAGAAAACAAACATGAGCTGGGGCCAATCATGTCAGCAACTCATATGGGTTTTGCTTTCCTGGAAATTTCAAATTTTCTCAGAATGTACATATTTTTGGTAAATGATTTTTTGGTCAATTTGTCATTTTGTTATTATTTACTGACAAATAAAAAGTACACACATTTATAAAATACAATGTATTTAGTAATGTGTGTACATTACTAAATGATTCAATTCAGCTAATGACCATATCCATTGCCTTACTTACTAATCAAGCTTCTTTGGTGAGAAAATGTAAAATCTACTCCCTTAGCAATTTTCAAGCATTCAGTATTACCATTAACTACAGTCAATGTGCTGTCCAACAGATGTCCAGAACTTAGTCCAGGTAATAAATTTATAAACTATTTTAACAAGGGGAGAAATAAGACTCCTGTGCGTTTCATGACTGTACCCCCAAACCAAGAGAACTTCATGGAAATTGAGAAGGAATAACCATGAAGAACTGTAACAGCAAGCTGCCTTATGACCTAACTTTTTCTGTCAAAAAGTTCCTTTTAATTAATTAACAGGCAGTGAGAGTGATAGGGAAGAACATTGATCCTGGGGAGCTAAATGGGAAGATCAGGGCAGCAGAAGTGTCCCAGCAGTATAGCAATGGCTGGTCCTGGGTGTTTGCTTGGGTGTCTGCCTAGCACTCTCAGCAGAAGTGTAGACCTAGGCTTGGGGGAGAAATCCTGTGTTCCAGGTATTCTGGGTCAAAAGCAGAGCCAAAGGTAATATGTTTCAGATGCTGAGACCCCGGGTCCCTAGTCCTGTGTGTGTGCCCAGTTTGGCCCCCAGACCCAATTCACTCAGTGGCTGTCTCTAGCCCCAGACACAGCTGCAGAAAACTTCTTTTCTGCTGATTCTGGCTCAGCATTGTCTGCTGGACATGATGTCATGTGCTCACAGCCTCCACAGTGGCTGTCTGTCGATTGGTGGGCGTCCAGAACACACTCTCAGGCCCAGAAACAGCACATCAGGGGGAAAGAAAACAAAGGAAACAAAACCTTCACATCTCCAGTCCTCAGCCCAGGACATGGGGGTTCCGTCCCCTGAACACTGCCTTGCCTGCACAGCTCCCACTGCAGACACTGAGGTCAGATTACTCTGGGAGGAAAGAACTGCTTCAGAGCAGCAGCTGCCTCGCACCCAATTTCCTTGCAAAAACATCAGCCCATTATTATCCCAGCCTAGGGAATTGCAGCTCTCTGCCTCTAATTATTAAAGGATGCTTCTCAGCCAGCTCCAACTCCAACACTACCTCCCCACCTCATGGGAGGTCTTCAATTTAACATCTGCGTGGGCTCAGAGGATGTGGCTGTGCACTGATCCATTCAGTCCGGCAGCACCACAGAAGCAGGTGGGAGGAATCATGAGTACTTGGGTAGCTTTGAGGTGTCAGCATGAAACAGAGAAAGAAAAGAGCAAGGCAGGAGGCCATGCATCTGCTTCCCCAGGGACCCACTGCCTGCAGGTACAGGAACCTGTTCTTTTTATCTCTGGAAGAAGACACTTCTTGCCCCCAGCACACCCTCAGCCAGAACCACACCCATGCAGTCAATATACCTCCCCAATGTGCTTAATTAGAAAAGAACATTTTAAATAAAACTGTATTATGGTGAAATATATATAACACAAAATCGACTATCTTAGCTATTATGTATACAGCTGAGTAGTGTTAATTACACTCACAATGACATGAGCCATCATGACCACCTAGCTCTAGAACATTTTCATCTTGTAAAACTGAAACTCTGTAACTATTAAACACCAAGTTCCCTCTTGGCTCTACCACCAGGCCCCAGTCACTACCATTCTACTTTGTGTCTCTATGAATTTAATGACTCCAGGTACCTATTAGAAGCAGAATCATTCAGTAATTATCTTTTCGTGCCTATTTCACTCAGCATAATGCCCTAATGGTACATTCAGGCTATAGCATGTGTCAAAATTTCCTTCCTCTTAAAAGTTGAATAATATTCTATTATATTATATGCCATACTTTATCTATTCACTGTTGATGGTAATTCGATTTGCTTCTACCTCTTGTCTATCAGGAATAATGCTGCTGTGAACAAGGGGGTACAAATATCTCTTTAGCATCCCTGCTTTCAGCTCCCTTGGTTCTTAGTGCCTGAAGGTACACCAGCCACATCACATGCAATCAGAATTACTGAATAGACTATTTCTAAAACATCCCCATTATACATTCAATCATCTTATATAAACAGAAAATGTTCTCATAAGGGAACTGTATTCTACAAAACACATTTTAAACCTTAGGGTTGGCATCTGACAAATCATCTTGAAGAGTGACCAGGTATCTATCTGGGGTGTAATGGTGGCATTGCACATGTGTTGAAGATATATGCCCAGATGCAGGACTGCTGGATTTTTTTTTTTTAAGGATCAATCATACTGTTTACCACAGTGGTTGTATCATTTATTTTCCAACCAATAGTGCAATAGTGCATAAAGGTTCTGATTTCTCCACTTTCTTCTAACAGTTGTTATTTTCTAGTTTTGTTTCACTGTAGACACCCTAATAGGCGTAAGGTAAAGAAAAGATGACTTTACACAAATATTTTCTTCATGGCAAGTAAGCTGTTAGGAGGCAGAAAAAGAAAAAGAAAAGCAAGTGTAATTGGCAGCATCTCTGGGCCTAGGGTATGTTCATGTATGCCCGTGGCTATCTGTAAAAAGGCCAATCCAGAAGCTTTATCAACTCGGATTTTAGTGACATCTGTGTCCCCTGGAACAAATGCTATTCATACCCAAAACAACACCTTTACTTATGCTTTCTCCTCCCAGTTCTGGAGATCTAGCATGGCCTGGTTACTAGTTACTATATTATATTCGTACATTTTAACGATTCTTACCAAATACATGGTAGTAAGATGGCTATAGGATGGATATGTTCATTAGCTAATAATGAAAGGAAATAGAGAAAAATGTTTTCCAATATCAGGAAGGTTCCCATATTAGTATTTTTAAAAACAAAACAGAATTTTAAACAACATAGAATTTATACATTTTATGCAGTGTTTATGAAAACCACTTTCAAAGTAGGGTACTTGGAAGTTTAGTTGCATATTCCAATGATGAAGTTGTTTAGAACTGCTCTTCAGGAAAGACTTTAAGGTCTGATTTAATTCTCATTTTTAAAAAATTAGTCACATTAATTTATGGCCATGCTTAGACATGGTTCCCAGGATTCCTACTAGCTCCCTAAATGGAATCCACTCTCAAAGCATGGTACCCATAACCCCCTCACTGCAATCAGTAGAGGATGCTATGGAAAGCCCCACAAGCTCCAAATTGCCATTTCCCAGTACCCTGGGCAATGGCAACCCCTGGTCCATGTGAGTGGCCTACATGCCGAGGAAGATGGTAACTGGGAGGTTCCTAGCACTCACCCATGGACAGGTCCAGACCAAAAGCACATGCTAGATCATGTTCATCCCTTGGTTCTTAGTGCCTGAAGGTGCACCAGTCACATCACAGGCAATGAGAATTACTGAATAGATTATTTCTAAAACATCCCATTCTACATTCAATCACCTTATATAAGCAGCAAATGTTCTCATATGGGAACTGTATTCTACAAAACACATCAAATCATCTTGAAGAGTGACCAGGCATCTATCTGAGGTCTAATGGTGGCATTGCACGTGTGTTGAAGAGAACAGAGCTCCGTTAGCTGGTTGCTGAGGCTTGGGCCACAGAACTTCCCTAACTGGCACTGGGATATCTTTGGGCTAGAATGTGCAGCACAGGGCCCAAAAGATGCAACCAAAGAGCCGATTTTGACTCAAAACCAAAATGTTAAATGGAATTTAACACAACATGGATGGACAGGTTGTCTCCAAGCTAAAGACAGGACAAATTTCTTCATTCCACAAATTTATCTCTAAACGAGGAAAAAGTATAGAGTTTGGAATTTAAGTTAAAAAAAAATTTACATCCTTAAAATTCAAAGTTGATACATTCCTAGCAACTGTGATGAAATGCAGGTATTTTTTAATCTAATGGATTAATTCATTTCTTATAGCAGGATTTTGTTATGAACACATTATAATATTTTTTTACAACCAAGAGATACAAAATGTAGAAAAAAAGTAAATAACCACATCTACATCGGCAGTGATTTGAATTGTGTCCCACAGATAAGATATGGTCAAGTCCTAGGCCCTGCTACCTGTGAATGGAACCTTGTTTTAGAAAGAGGGTGACTGCAGATGGAACCAAGTTAAGATGTGGTCACATGGATTAAGGTGGGCCCTAACCCAATGACTGGTGTCCTTTCAAAAAGAGGGGAATCTGGATATAGAAAAGTACATGCAGCAAGAAGCCCACATGAGGATGGAAGAGAGGTTGGAGTGATGCCATCTACAAGTCCAACAAGTGCAAGCATGCCAAAGAATGCTAAGGGCCACCAGCAGCAGCAGGAAGGACAAACCCTCCCCTAGAGCCTTCAGCAAGAGCACTGCCTGCCAACATCTCCCTTTCGGACATCTAGGCTCCAGAATGTAGAGGGATAAATTCCCACTACAGTCACCCCATTTGTGGCCATTTGTTACAGTAGTTCTAGAAACTAAAGCAACACTGCCACTTGCTGCTTTGGAGGCTGCCTTGGGTTTCTGTTGTCCACTGCTGGCCCCCTGGAGTCCCTCTCAGTCTAGAACGGTAAGTCCAGTTCTGCAGCCTATAAAGAAACTTCACTGTTTTCTTCAAGTGGAGGCTGCAGGTGACTTCCACAGACATCCAGAAAGTTCCAGTGGATCCCATGCTACCTGTCAACGGCACATCTAGCAAGGCCTTGTGGAGCACGCACATTGTGTGGACTTCCTCCCACAGGAAACTGGTGGCATCCACTCTCCTCCCTAACAGCTGTCCAAAGCCAGTGTAAAGCAGCTGCAGACCCACGTGAGCTCCTTCCCAGACGGCATTTTATTTATTGGGGGAAGAAATAATAAACTTTCTTCGAAGTTGTAATTCTTGGTTAGCTAAGATTTCGGTATTTTTCTAATATTCATAATAGAATGAATGGCTGACTCTTCATGCTAGGCACTGGGAAGAACATGTCAGTAAAAGTGGGTGCTCTCGTTAATCCCTATTTTACTAATGAGGGAACCGAAGCCCAATTAGGTAGACAAAGGTCTGACGTCAGCCTGAATCCTAACAGCATGCCCTAGAAAGGGGAACATCTCCTCTCTCTTGCATGTCAGCCATAGATTGACTCTAAATTTACCTGGTCACAAATACAGCAGCATCCACAGGGGGTGTATCGTCCTTCCCTCCTGGAACCTGATTGTTACCGAGGTACCGCGCACCTCCATATTCCTCATTCTGCCAATGACAGAAGCTCTCCAGGGACCGCTCGCCATGGTGCCCAATGGACAACTTGGCCTAAAAGAAATTGAGGAGGCAGTCAGAGAAGTGGACACCCAGGGAAGCAGAGTGTCCATCCAGACCGTAGTGTGGACATTAAGCTGGAGACAGCTGCTAAGACACCATTTGATGACTTGTTTTCTCCAAATAAAAGAATAACAGAAGTGGGTATTCAGGAAACCCCCGAAGAGAACATCAGGGACCTTATCTTTCAACTCAAAAGAAAAGCAATCTACTTTTCTGTAAACACAACAGTGTACCCAACCAAGCAATGTCACCTCAATCTCACGTTGATGGCCTGACTGTATAGGTGTCATGTTCATGGGGGAGTGCCCTGAAAGACAAGACCAGGGAACACTGCTGCAGTGACTGCCACTGGGATGGAAGGCCCCGGAGCTTCGTACATATCTGAGAGCCTTGGAAAGACCTTCCAGGAGGGGAGGGGATGGGCAGGATCCCATTGCCAGGGCTCTTCTGTGATTCAACTCAGCCAATGCCAGTTACATGTAACTGTGTGTTCTCTGAGAGGTGCCCATGGGGACTTACAGGACGTTGTCGTAGGAGGACAAGCTTGGTAACTTGAATGTTGATTTTAATTCCAAGACTCTGGTGCTGAAACATATTGTATACCTATTAAGAGAGAAAAAGATACAAAATATCTTTTAAAATACAGTGGAATCTTGGATGAGGGCTTAGAAAAGAGAAAAGATAAGAGAGAAAAGATAGCAGGTAGAAACTAAGGTAATCTGAATACACTATAGACTTTACAGTAACGTATCAGTATTGACCCACTAATCATTACACACATACCATACTAAGATGTTAAGAATAAGGGGAACTAGGGGCTGGGGTTGTGGCTCAGAGGTAGAGTGCTCGCCTAGCATGCGTGAGGCATGGGGTTCCATCCACAGCACCACATAAAAATTTAAAAAAGGTATTGTGTCAACTTACAACTAAAACATAAAAACAAAAACAAAAAAGAAAAAGAATAAGAGGAACCGTGTCTAACTCTCTGTACAATCTGCTCAACTTTTCGGTAAATCCAAAACTGCTCTAAAATACAATCTATTAATAAAGATCATATTAAAATGCAGCATGTGCTCTTGAATAATAATATATAATTAAAATTTTGGTGTTGATAAAGATTAGAACAAAATATACATATATGGGAGAAACATAGCCCAGATTTTATTTCTAAGGTTTTTCTGAGATCAAAAATAACGCCCTTCAAAGCGAATATTCAAAAATAAAAATAGATATGATAGAAATCTCTGGAATCACACATATGCACACGCATACATATACACTCAAAGCTAAGCTAGAAACCCAATAGCTTTTCAGAAAAAAAATGTATAAGTCAGGAGATTTTGAAAAAAAAAAAAAGACATGGATGTTAGATGATTCTGGTCAAATATTCAAAACTCCCATTCTGGGCTTTCATGCAAAGAGATGAAGGCAGGGAGGAGACAGGAGCCTGCTGTGTGCCAGCCATGGTCATCTCTAACCCTCACCACCACCCTCAGTTGGGAAACAGGCTCAAGCTCGAGCCACCTGATAAAAACAGCCAAAGGTGACTTGACCCAAACCCAGGCTCCTCTAGCCAAAACATTCATTTTCTTCTTTATTCCCTGAAGTCCTCATTCTAACCAAAGTTTTTCACTGAGATAAATTATGGTAACAAAGGGATATGTCCTTCTCAGTGTAGTCCCTTGTTATGGTTCAAGTGTAATTTTGAGTGTCCCTCAAATGTCCATAAGCAAAGATTTGATCCTTAGGGGGTTCCAGTGGGAGATGCTATGAACCTCTAGGAGGAGGGGACTTGTGGGAGGCCCTGAGGTCACGAGGGATGGGGGAGACATCCCCAAAAAGGACTGTGGGACCTCAGTCTTGCTCTCTCACTGCTTTTTGGCTTGAAATGTGACTGCTTGCTCTGGCATGCATGCCTGTCATTATCATCTGCCATCTCTGCAAGAGGCCAAAACAATATGTCTACCTGATTTTGAATTTGAGCCTCCAACACTGAGAGCTCAGCAAATTTTTTTACTTTACAAGTTAGTAACCTTGAGCATTTCATTATAGTAATACTAAATTGAGTGATACCCACTTTTTATTGGCAGAATTGTAAAGACTTCAAAATCAGAAGTCTGGGAAAGTGTTCCAAGGAGAAGAGATGAAGGGAATCTTGAATAAGACAGAGAAATCAATGTTGATGTGACAAAGAAAGACCACTGACTTCGAAGATCCCTAGACTTCCTCTTCTATAAAATTACTCTGAGAGGTTCAGTGGGGAAGGTGATAAAGGACGAAGTAGTAGCAGGACACAGAGGGAACAGGGATGAGAACTTTCTGAATATTCTATCTTGTTTTTACTCATAGATACAATTCAGAGAGGAGAATTTTCTTTTTAATTTTTTAAACTTTTGCTATTAATTATACATGACAGTAAAACACACATAAGCACTTTGATATATCATAGAGTATAATTTCTTTTTTCTGATTGTACACATTATAGAATCACATTAGTCATGCAGCCATATATGTACATAAGATACTGTCTGCTTCATTCTACTATCCTTCCGACCCCATACCCTCTCCTCTCCCTTCACTCCCCTCTATCTAATCTAAAGAAACTCTATTCTTCCCTAGCCCACTCCCCGCTGGGGAAGAATTATCTACCAGCAACACTGTCACTTTTTCTATTTGGTGCTTTGTTTCCACTTCTGACTCAACACCATCAGCAGAAGCAACAGCCACTGCAGACCAGGTCAACTCAGGCCAAGTGGAGCTGGTCAATGACACAGTGCCTAGCCTGCAAGTCGGGCAGGCAGTGCTGAATGCATCTGTATAACACAGGAATTAGCTGCATCATGGCTTGGAATTTACTGTTCAAAACTGTTGTTACAGTTAATAAAATCTGTGTAACTTAATAGCTTTTCCCACAAGGAAAACTAGAACACATTCACTTTTCTGTTCTCACATTTCCACCCCCGACACAAATTTCCTTTCCTCAGAAACAAAATAGCAGTCATGTTTTAATACTGGATCACCTTTAGGCTGATTCTGAAGTCGTGTCTTATTATCTATTCCTAATCCTAGAGGAGAAGGGGAAAGCATGCAACTTTTTCCTTGTTTTAGTGTTTCCAGAACACCCAAGGGCTCTAACTCAAATCTTTCCTAAAATATTCAGCATAAGAATTGGACTCAAACTGGTAAACCTCAGTTTGAAACATGAAAATAAGAATGAACAAAGATGTAGTTATGAAGGAGAAAAGTCAAGTTGCACAGGATTTTGTTGTAAGGTGACTTAAACAAAGCCCATGGGGCTGAGGGTGTAGCTCAATTGGGCAAAGTGGGTGCTTAGCATACACAAGGCCCTAGGAACCCTAGCACCAAAATAAATAAAGAAGCAGAGCCTATAATGTCAAAAATATCTAAACACTAAGGATATTAAGAAATGTTGTAGATTTCAAACAACAATGTGGAAAAGCACCTCTCAGTAATATTCTGAACTGCTGCATAAATAAAGAACCTCAGGAAATGACTGAAATGATCAGGGAGAATAAAATGGCAGGACAAGCTCCCTGTTAAAATCACCCATTTGTTCCTTGCTGAGCTGGACATAGTTCAGAACCAAATTCATTCCATACCCCAAGATTCAGTCCCTTCCCTTGGAACAAAAGCATCAAAATTTTTAAAAAGAAGAAGAATTTGAGATGGAAGAGGAAAATAAATTCAAAATTCCAGAGGCTTGGGGACAGGGTGAAATGGGGAGCTAATCAATAGCTATGTAGTGTCAGTTTTGCAAGATGGGAGAATTCTAGCGATTGGTTGGACAATAATGTGTATATACTTAACACTGAATTGTGCAATTGTGCGCTTTAAAAGGGTTAGGATGGCCAGGCACAGTGGCACACACCTGTAATCCCATTGGCTCAGGAGGCTGAGGCAGGAGGATTACGAGTTCAAATTCAGCCTTAGCAACTCAGTGAGGCCCTAAGCAACTCAGCAAGACCCTGTCTCTAAATAATACACACACACACACACACACACACACACACACACACACACACACACACGTCTGTATATATATGTGTGTGTATATGGGCTGGGGATGTGGTTCAGTGGTTAACAGCCCCTGAGTTCAATTCCTGATACCAAAAAAAGAAAAGAAAAATAAATGTTAAGATGGTAAATTTTATGTGTATTTTATCAAAATTAAAAGTTTTAAAAGTTTCATGCTTGGAATAATATTCTCTAGAAACCCCTGTAATATTAGTGTTCTGGTCCAAAAGGGAAGGTATCAGAGCCTGATTATAGCACTTCGTCATTAGCTGCCTGCTGACCACATTCCAACAAAGCTCTGCAGAACACTAGGCAAGGGCAGGTGGACACCAGGATCTCCCTCGAGGCCCCACATCAGGTGCAGCAAGCCAGATGAATACCCCAAGACAGCCATGAAACGCAAGATGCATGGCCAAGCCTGTGTCTCTTCTCCAAGGAAATTCAAGCTCAGAAGTAGTCCTAGAGATAGCAGCCACATGATGCTTAGGGAGTCACCTGGCTGGGCATGGAACACTGTAGCGTCTGGATACTCTGTCCCTAGTGTCCAGCTCTGGCAATGTCCCAGTGAATATTCAGAGCCCTGGCAGCCTTAGTCACATTTCCTTGGCAGCATGGGGGCCAAGCCAGGTGGACCTGTTGCCAACAACTCACTGTGGCTCTCACTGGGCAACCGGAGGACACGGTGAGGAATGAGGGATGGCAGAATGAGGGAACAGAGAAGAGTAGGTGGTGGGGCAGGTCGGGAGAAGCTGCTGGTACACCAGGCAGGATTTTCACAAGGTCACCATCTCTGGGCATGACCCTAAGCATGCCCAGAGACAGGCAGGCATCCTCAGTTAATAGCATCCCAACAGGAAGGGGCTACATTGTCTAGTCCCCAAAGCAGAAACATCAACATTCCCAGGGACACATGCTAAAATGCATACCCTGGAGCCCTCTATAGACCCCCCTAAATCAGAGACTGGAGGTGGCCAGGCCATCTGTGTTGAACAAACCCCCCAGGGCTTCTTACTCTCCCCTAGAGTATGAGAACCAGTGAGTGTTTTAACGCTGTGCTAATTTTGATGGTCAGCAGAGAAAGGTTTGTTGTCTATTTCATATGGTAATTAAGTGAAATTGATGCCATTTTTCCTCCAAAGAGAGACTGCCTGGAATGTCTCAGGTTTTTCATTCCATTCCATGGTTGTTAAGGAAGCTAAGAACAACCAAAGCTCTGTCAAGTGGCTCTGTTTTCCAATTTGGCTGCTCAAACAGGGAGTTTCTGGTGTCCGCACCACCTGTTTCCATCTGCAATTTGTTCTTTAAAGTCACGTATGCAAAAAAGGCGCAACACATCTTCAAAATCCACAGCAGCCAAACCAGCACCAGCCTGGTGGAGGCTTCCTTCTCTCCACATAGCTGCATGGCTTGGCTGGGGACACAGTGCCAGGAGCAGGACTCCACTCCCCTGGAAAAGAGCTGGGCAAAAGGATTTATTCATTACAGTGCTGGGGATGGAACCCAGGTTCTCATGCATGTGACGCAAGCACTCTACCACCGGGCCCCAGCCTCAGCTCTAGGAGAAGCTT